AATAATTGCTTTGACACGACTCTGGTTTTTATCATCATCAACAAGATTTCCATCGTCTCTCGATAAATTGGAAGTGAGAAAAATAAAATCTCATTGTCGTTAAGTTGCCATAGATTGGATTATATAGTTATATCGCCAGAAATCTCCTGGGACTTGACAACTGTTGACAAATGTAACATTATATTAAACAATAGGTCTGGATTGCAATGTTTTTCACGATATCCGTGTAGTTGCTTCACGCATTAGACAAGTCTCCGTGGACTGGATGTTGGTAGAAGACTGTCACTCTCATTCTAGAGTAGTTATAAATATAATATTACTAGAGAAAATATGCCTTGTTTAGACTGTCATTCTCCACTTTAGATAATTGACAGCGAACTAGGAAACACTTTTGTGCTATTAAGACGATCAGTTATAAGGTTAACAGAATGACCTTTCCAGATAATGAAAGTGGTATCTGCATAATGTCATCAACCATCTTCTCCAGCCTTATTTAAGCTTTACATTTAAGCTTCTCATTAGACTACTGCTTTCTGTTCTTTCCTTGACCATGCTTATTTATGAGATCATTACAATTACAAATCTAATGTTTCATTCCTATCTAATCTAGATTCCATTGTTTGCCAAATTTCTTTTTTATGCATGACAGAGTTAATATTACCTAATATAGCTCCTGAATACTAGTAATTCCTAACATGGCTGTATTTTCAAATCATACAAGACTTATTTTGTTAATCTTTGTTTTTTTATCAAAAGGAAACCAAAGATCTAAAATTCCAGTTTGGCAATATATTGGTATAAGCAAATGAACAATTCAGAAGTATATAATATGCTCATAAATATAAGCAATTCAGGGACGTAAAGTTTCCATTTGGAAAAACATAGTCTGTTCATGATTTGATGGGATGAAAACTGATTTACAGAAGGTTAAATTCAAGGAATATTGTTAAAAGAAGGTTGAATAAGAGCAGAAAATCTAATTTCTTGCGGTGGTATTATTCCTTGCCAATTCTCCTTGGTAATTCGATCAATTTCTGCTTACTTAACAATAAGGTGGAGAAAATGAGAAGATTTAACGATATTTCCCTGATTAAAGTAGGTTACATCATGGCTGCCGATAATGTTGTTTCTAACAATTACATTCACGCTGATTGACGGCAAGTTTTTCTCTTCTGCTGTAATTTATGGCTGACTTTCTCCAAATGTCAATCAAGATGTATTGAAAATTACCCTAAAAATGATTTGATCGATGCGCACATGACAGATTAAAAAGTATTGAAATGGAATAAAAAGTGTGTAATTACAGCGTATCTGTAAGCAATGTGATTAGACTATACTTGTATTTTGGTACAATAACAGGTTTGTGCTGTAAATTATAAATGGATACTGGTATTATGTCAGTCAATGTCAGCTTGATCAAATTTACTTCTCCACCACCAGATTTCATCTCTTTTTATACAATGGCCTCTTGTTTCCTTCTTCACATGAAATACAAGGTTGCTTTTTAAAAATTCTGAGATAAATCTTTTGAATATTTGAATAATACTGAATTGCTATTTAAAAGCAGAAGGATACTTTCAGAAAGTGAATTTAGAAAGCTTATTTTATACTTCTGCAAAGTTACATTTGAAATGAGTATAAATTAGCTTTCTAAATTTACTGAATTTGAGCTTGGGTGTATAATGATGATTTTCAAAGTGTTTGTTAATAGTTAGTATATTTAAAATACAGACTTTATATTGATAACCTTATGCTCAATATTACAAAGGTAACTTTAAGCTTTTTTTTTTTTAATATTCAATGAGACATGCTCCAGCCAATAAAGCTTTGAGCTAGGTAACTGAGCAATATTATTAGTAGTAAGCACTCCTTCATATATCAAAGCTGAAACATGCTGTGACAAAGATATTCATTAAGATTTCAATTTAACTGTAGGAATAATGAAGCTTTAAGTAGTTATTCTGGTCACTTTGACTTATAATCAATTAATATATAATATATTGACTACTGCTGGCTTTTTACACAATGTGGAAATTTTGTTATTAAGAAATGACGGAATTCCGTTAGAGTAGCCATTGTTGCGATTATGGTAGTGAAAGGATATGTGTGTATTGACAGGTAATGTAAAGTGATTAATGACGGTGGTAAATGATGATAGATCTACAATTTACCTGTATTCTATAATCATTATTGTCAGCCATTGGCGTATCACAATAAAGCGAAAGTAGGAAATCTTGTAGAAAGCTAATCAAGCGCATGAAACAATCGAAAAGTATTTTTCTCTCTAAAGTAATTAATTGACTGAAAGAATTACAGCGTTTATTCTTGTCTTCAATCAAAACAGAAAACAATCTGCATTTTCTACTGCAACACATTACAATCCTTAGCGAATTCCTTACAACTGAGATTTCATTTATTTGTTTTTCTATAGACCATTGTTTTAATTCTATCATATAATCTTAATTAGAAAGTTTTTCCTATCAAGTATTGTATTTGCTTTAGTTCAGAATATTTTATCATCTGGCATTGTATTTTCAAGCTATTGTTTTGATCGCTAATCTCTTATGCAATTTTACTGTGAAGCGATTTTTTTCTTGTGATTTGTGATTGTAAATGTATTGTCATTCAAACCATTTATTAAAGTTTCCAGTCATTCTCTTGTCATTGATTATTCTTGTTAGGAAATGTAATCTTTTAAATTGTCACATTATAAATTGTTGTCACAATGATGTATCACCATTGCGTTGTCGAAATATTTACAATTTCATCTCCGATCTTTTCCTGCTATTTTATCAACATTACTTGGTGAATTATTGGGTTTTTGATATTTGCAATGATTTCTTGTTAAAGACAGACATCATCTGAAGGTGCCAAGAAAGAAATTATGAGAGAAGAAAAATGTCTGCCATGTTTGTCTTGAAATAACAATACAACTTTAATGGACAAAAACTTTTCATGCTTTGATTATCAAATTTATGATCAGAACACTTTGTTTGGAGACTTGGGTCTACCAGTATTGGAATAGGAAATTATTGACCTTAGTTAACGAGTTAACTGACCAGAAGTGTATGGTCTGAGTTTTTCTTTATACTCAAAATATTAACTTTGACACCATTGTCCCCTTCCTCAAAAAAGTCTATATATTATAATTTGTTGTAAGTGTGGATATTTACATTGAGAAAGACACAAAAAAAGTAACAAGGTACCAAGTATTCAATGGAAGAGCTAGGTTTTAAGTGATTTTCAAAGCAGATAAAAAGGCTGAAGATTATTATTGCATTGTGATTAGTTTATGTAACTGCATTTCATCTACTGGCCAGATCCTGGTATGCAAAATCTATAAAGAAAACAGCCAACATACGATTTCTCTTTTAGATTCTCGTTTGGCAATTCTGATCAGGTCTGGTTTGGTTAAAAAAACCTGGAAACATATTAATAGAATTTCTTTATCGAACACATTGTAGGCGTGTAGATAGCCAGAAGTACAAACATTAAGTACATCTGTATCCAAACGGGTGTTGTTTGGTTAGGAAATGATCTGAGAAAGATAGGAATCTCTGGCTTTTATCAATATGACTGTTTGTCAGGGTAACGGAAAGATAAAGTTATATAAAGATGTAATCATACACGTTTTCAACTTCCTGTTTTCATAGCTGCTGTTTCAAAGATTCAAGAAATTGAATAGGTTGGATTAAATTGAAACCAGTTGAAATTCTAACGCCCTCAAAAAATCTGTTCAGTCCATTTAAATCAAAGTTAGATTAGCCATCTTTTACAAGCAAGTCAAATCCTTCAAATAGTGTAGTACTAGAATCATGTTCTACATCTTTCTCAACCAAACATAGCCGGTTGTATTTATCTTAGATAAAATGCACCTGGACGACATTCCTAAACCTCTTTCTGAAATGTCAGAATATTGGCGTAGTCTCTTGAGATATTCTATTGTCCTACGTAATTCCCATAATGGAATCTAGCAGAACGATGCGAAAACTTCCAGTGAAATATCCTGACCCCCCTTGTGGTATGTTTCGTCAGATCTTTAAGAAGCTCAAGATGGCAGCTTCTGCAGTAAACGCAGAAATGTCAGGTCATAGTGTTTGATTTGAGGCCAGTGAAGTTGGGATTTGTTTTCATTGTCAATAAAGTTTGGCTTTACATTATCAGTGTTTGGTTATTAAGAGTAATCAGAGGCCTAATCCACTCTTCACAAGTTCTCGCCAACCTCCCAGATGACATGATGACTTGCTTTTATAACTCAAAATAAAACAGATTTTTCCAGGACAAACTTGCCAAATTTCACACCCTGCCTTTCATGAATTTCAAACTCTCAAATAAGAGTGCACATGGAAGTTTTAAACACACAATTTTTTTTAAAACACAATACTTTTTTACACACCTCCATTTGTACTAACTTCAATGGGCTGTTCTGGGACTTGGGACAGATTTGTTGCACAGTTTTTTTAGTCACAGACTCAGCTTTGATTGATCTTAGTGTCATATTAGTTATCACTATTCTTATCAAAGCACAAAACTGAATATCGCTGACAACAAAGATAAATGCACTTGAAGCATTTTTTTAAAATACATTCACTTAGTATTCAAAGACAATGTCAAGCATCAATTCTGACACTTAAGACAGATTAAAATTTGTTTTTAGAAGCTGAATTAAAAGAATATCAGCTTTAAAGTATAGAATTGAGCTTAACTTGTTATAACAATTCTAGAGTTTTATTCATATTTAAACGAAATTTACAAATATAATGAAATTGACTTGCATACATCTCAGAGGAAATATTGATATTTTCAATTACATCACGAGATAGCAAAAACACAATGAAGTCAGATTCATGTGTTGTAAAGAAAATATTCATGCAAGTTGATAAAGAATAAAGTAGCTCGTAAATCATCTTTCAATTGTTTCTTTTTTATCTTGTTAAAGAATTAGGTCAAGTAGAGATTTAATAACTCTTTGGTTTATGAATGGAATTCTTTTCTTTTTTCAGATTGAAGATGCCATGCTTATGTTTGATAAATCAACCAATAGACATCGAGGTAAGATAAAATATAATCTTAAAACCCCCCTGATTGGCTGATTTGATGCAAAAGTACTATCATTTTGAGGTGTGGTAAGCTAAATAGTTCACAGAATCAATACCCTTTTTTTACGTCTGCTTTCAACACATCAGGCTATTCCAGTTTGAGTAGAGATCAGACCACTACTTGGTTTAAAAGATCCCGAGGTCTGAAATTAGACAGATATAAATTAATTTCTCGTATTAGACGTCCCTACATAGACATAAATAACACAACTAAGATACTTGATGTGAACCAGTCATGTCATCTAACAGAATAGCGCTAACGATACCCTGTAAATTGCCAGGATTTATTGTGAAAACACTAAGGGTTTGTCTACATTGTAAATGGAATGATTTAAAAATCCATTCTCTGATCAAAATGCCATCCAACTCTTGACCTTTTAAAGCTTTTAACTGTCATAGTAACGCGAAAAAAAGAGAATAGAGCGAAAAGAGATGGCAGGAAATTTTGAAAAGGAATTCAACTACAATTAATGTTTTAATTTGTAACACAAGTAATTGGATTTCATTAGACGATGCCAAAACATTTGACTAATGTATATCAATTTGTTCATCTGCTAATGTTTTCTTGATTATAGGCTTATAGGAATGAAGCAATTACAATATTAACCTTTACTGTGCCAAACAGATGGGATATATTGAATATTAAGGTGATTAAAAACAATTTTAAAAAAGTGCACAACTTTGGTCCATGTTTTCTAAATTCAATTCAATTAATCGATCTGTTATCATATTAACACAGATTCTACATCTAGTACCCTACCCACAAAAACAAATTTTGGCAATTGGCTTTAAGAAGCATATTATATTACAAAAGCTAAAAAAAGAGGAGATAGTTAATTAGAATTGCAGAAATGATTGACCTACAGGAAGATGCGTGTTACATGCTTGTCTGGCATTAAACAGCTGTTTTTGGTATAAGACGTCAATGGCAGCCATTTTGAATTAATGAATATTCTATGGTGTAAAAAAACGTTTGATGAGAAAAGCAGTAATGTGAATCTGTAGCAAGGGTCATGTCCTGAAGATTGAACACACATTTAGAAATTTAGTAGAAATCTCGCGTCTGCTGCCTGTGATCTTTAGATGGAAATAGGCGCATGTTAGAAATAGAAATTAGGGAAATATGATATTTGATAAACATGTTTTATATCTCTAAATATACTGATGAATCATCTGCTATTGAAATCTTTACTCCAAAATCTCTGTTTACATTTACCACGCTGTGAGATGCCAAATTATTCCTATATGCTTTCTGAATATTTATGCAATAAAGGCATTTTTTCACAGTGCCATATTCTTTCAAATGTCAGGAATCACCAGGTGATAGAGAATCATTCTATTTACAATGAGACACCCAAGATTTTGTACAGCTATCTATTGCAATACAGACTCAAGTTCGAATAGAATTCTTTCATGGCCAGTGCTTTCGAGAGACAGTCTGGTGTCGGCTTTCAACATCCATCAACAACCTTGAATTCACCTATCATGTATTATTACTGAAGTCATTAACAAACAAAAAACTCAACAACTTAAAACTGACAGAAAAATGGTAAAAATATTTGCGAGGGTGTGGGAAGAAATGCCAAGACCTGGCTTGTGTAACATTTTTATCTCCTAAATTAAAGAGTTATGCAAGAAAGATAACATCATACTGTAATAGAATTTATTTTTAATCAGGCATGTTATAGGTATATTTAGACTCAGCATGCAAATTTAACAATACTGTAGTTATCATTAGACATAATGACTCTATTTTACGTAAACAAGCAATAGTGTTGCTCTAGAATCTCATTAGGGTTGGCCACAGTTAATTGCATTAATGTAGTTGGAAAATTTTAGTATCTAAGAGTAGTGTCCCTTAGTTCAATGTAGTTGCCTTAAACTTTAATTTTTAGAAATTTGCTTTAGATATTATAATTTCATACTGAAAAGGCTTGGTTTAGGGCTTTTTTGTTAGAAATAAAGTTGGTATTTTTGAGCTCTTGAGTAGAATCTTTGTAGTCTGGATTTCAGGATATTGGCTAAGGCTGTAGTGTTCTGAATTGAGTAGTGCTAGATTGTAGTATCTTAGGCTAATAATTCTGTAGTCCTAGGTAGGCTTAGTAGGTTGTAGGCAACTAATAAAGTAGGCCTAGTAGTTGTAGGTAGCCCAGAGAGTTTCTCTTCAGGTTACAGGTCAACTAAGGTCAAGATAGAAGAATTCCTGTCCTATTTGGTGTCAAGGTCGAATTTGGATTAATTTGGAATATTATGTGATATGTGATTAAATAATCTTTGGATGTGACTTATGTGATAATGAATGAAAATGTCTTAAATATGTGATTATTCCTTCTGTGAACATCTTAACTTGGGAAAATTGTGTTAAATGTGATTCATGGATACAGTAAGTTAGTGAACTAGAACGGACAAACTAGAGAAGGAACTGTAGTTGTAGATCTTATTTTCAGATTGAACAACACCACCTAAATATTACATTCTCATACCCTTAAACACACAATACTTTTTTTTAGCTCATAGATACAATCAAAATAGCATGTACCCTAGTTTTCAGTAGACCAGAGACATTACAGAAAAACATAAAAGTTGACATCTTTTGTAAAAATAAATCACATACAAGTCAAACATTTCATTTATATGAGGCTTGAAACAGTACTAAAAGTATCACAAAGACATAGACAAAACTCTATAATGAATTGTATTTTCTGAACTTAAAGCTTTCAGCAACCAAAGTTCTGTTATAAAAAACCAAAAAGATTCTCTCAGTTTAAAACCTTGAAAGTGTGGGAAAGTGGAACAATTTGGAGATTGATTAAATCTGTAGTCTAGTTGATATTTCACAGGGTAACAACATTGTCTAAACAGGTGGACCATCAATATTAACTCAGATAGTCTTTATTGGAAATCATTATCAGACAAATAATCAAATCAAATGGACTTTCTAGACCAGTCCAGTGAAATATGACACTTGTATTCAATTTATTTTCTCACTAAGAACATATTTTTACAATGCAATCAAAACCTGTGCAGTGTCTCAACTTTGAGGATATTCAAACTATGCAATCAAGCAAATGTCTCAACTATAGCATTATTCAAACTATGTAATCTAAACAAGTGTTTGAGTATTAAGATATGTGAACTATGCTATCTATGATCAAATAGTTTTGAGGGTCTGATCAATACATATATGTATATTTTCATATTTTCCTAGTCTCAAAGTCAATGTTGATTGTATACCCTCTTTCTGGAAATAATTCATGACAAACATCAATATTGAAATTATCTGAAGGCTTCGTAAACTTTTTCTTTGAACATCCACTCTCCTAATATAGACTATTCACAAGTAATGATAGTTTAAATAGTTCTGTCAACAATCTTAGAGCTATCAAAAATATTTCTTCTCATAGTTGGACTTCAGTACAGAAGAGTTTTGAAGAAATATTTTATAATCCCAAAATAACACGCAGTTTCTTTGAGTTATCTTAAAATTATTCAAACAAATTCCAAAGATGACATGTGATTTCCTTTAAAAATGTTCCAACAAACTACAAAGGATACACATGTGTGATCAGAATTGAATGGTCGAAATTGAATGGTCGAAATTCAGAGGGTTGATATTACATGCTTGTGACCTTGTCTGGCAAATTATCACCAGGAATCTTGGTCCAAGATCCTCTTTGATCAAAAGTTGAACATTTTTAGTAAATCTTTATCAATAACTTAGAAATTTTGTATCTTGTAAGAACTAAAATTTGTGTCCTAACAACATATAGTTGGTCTAATTAAAATTAATTAAAACTAATTAAGTTTGTAACGTGTAAAAAATTGATGTCATTGCAGCCATGTTGATTAAACTACTAAAGATATATTGGTGGAAGCAAATAGAATAAATAATACTTGTAAAATATATATGTGTCTTTGTTGACTTCATTAAAACTTTTCTTTTAGAAGTTGTGTTTTTTGAAGTCATTTATTTTTACTGTAGTCAGCTGTTTAGCTTGATGTAAAACATTTTTGTTCAGAATGTTTTTCAAATCAGGTGTCAGTCTCTAGTACTATAGACCTTAGTAGGTTTTAGGTTGGCATGTTCACTAGTAGGAACACTAGACCTTGGTTATAACAGCATCACAGTTATAATTATTGTCATTCGTGGAGAAACTCTTTGTTGTAACTTGTAGGTGTAGCCATTTTTTTGCAAATGGAGTAATGAAGCTTTCAAAAGATAATGAGTACCTAACACAAATTTCTAAATCGACATTTCTGCAAAGTTTACAAAACATGATTCGTCTTGAACACCTGATCCCACTCAGATCTATTTTGATTTGCTTTGGAGAGTCTATATCCTAAACATGCCGCATGGTGTATAATCAATTATACATTGCTTTGAAATAAATTCTTTATCCTAAATACGGTAGGTATGAACTTGCTGTGATCTAGATTCAATCTAATTTGAGTTAACTATGATGAAATCTATTGGTTTATAAAAAGAAAAGAAAAAATGGTGAATAATTGATGTTTTTATAATACCAGGTATCATAATAATATAAAGGTTGGATAAAAAATACTCTGGTAATTAGTTGATATTTCTGATGGAATTTGCTGCGGTAATTATTTATGTGGAGGATTGTTTCAGGTGCAAAAATTTCCATCTTGAACTTAAGGCTTTTTTTTTTGAGTTGACTGAACAATATGTAACTGTAGTTTATGATCGAAATAAAAGAAGATGTTGGTAGTCATTTTAAAATGAAATTCTGAAAACATAAATGATAAAATCTTCTTTATAACCATTTAATAGCCTGGTTACTCATAATTCAGGGTCTAAATTCAGCTTGAAGAAAGTAAGATTCCTTTATTTGAAGCAAATCAATCTTTATAGGAACTTTCTTTTCCGATCAGCTGTTTGAATTCTATATGCCACTTCCTGTCTAATGCACCACCTGACCTCATTACTCAAAT